TCCCTCCCCTCTTACCACGTTTACACCAAGACGCCAAGCGCAGCACAGGCGCTCTCTCACCTGCCCCCTTTCCGGTCACACTCGTAACCGATGGGGCTTGCTAGTCTCCTGGCTTGCGGCAAGCAAAGATGCCGCCTCAGTACATCCCACCTGCCGAGCAATTATCGGCTCACCTCTGTGCCGCACTAGTGCAGCTAACGCGACACTTTAAATAGCCACGCTATCAGAAAGGCGGACGGCTAATGCTCACAGCTCAATTCGCAGACTCGCCACGGCTGGGTCTTCATAGGTGGTGGGCTAGCATAATACCCTAGTCTTTGCTTACATCGGCAGCCCACCACCTAGATAGCCCTAGCCAGCCACACGAGCCGTATCTCACCAGCTGAGGAGCTATGCAGCTCCAATTTAAGGTCGGCCGAGCCGTCCTGCAGTCTCGTCGCAGCGGGCCCTTCAGTTCATTTCTTTTGCCCCATCCCGAGGGCCAGCTTCAACTGCCGTAGCCAGCACCAGTTTCTAGCTTCACACATTCTTGCCGCTGCATTGCGGCCAGGCCATAGCGACACTTTTAAGCAGCCACGCTACCAGAAGAGCGGTCGGCTCAATGCTCACAGCGCAATTCGCAGACTCGCCACGGCTGAGTCGATATTGCGGCAAGCAAAAACGCCGCCCTAGTACATCCCACCTGCCGAGCAATTCTCGGCTAATGCTGGCTGTCAGAGGTGCGTACCTCTACTGACAGCTACTGCGCCCTAGCGTTGCTTGGCTGGACAAGATAGTCCCTCTCCCTCCCATATGTTGATCCCTCCCCTCATACCCCGTTTACTCCATGACGCCCAGCACAGCACAGGCGCTCTCTCACCTGCCCCCTTTTCCGGTCACGTGCGTTACCGATGGGGCTTCCTAGACTCTTGGCGGCAACGCCGGCCTCTCCCTCCTAGTCCGCTCCGCCACGGCCGCCACACAGCGCGGCAAGGCCATTTTGGCCCTCCTCCTACTCATCCCGCTCATTTTCATGGCTAAGCCATGCTCCCAGATGGCCGTCCCTGAGGCCAGCTCTGCTGCTCCCGGTCTTTCAGAGCTGCCCGCATAGGGCAACGCCTAGATGGCGCGCTCAGTGTATCTCGCACGGCACCGATCCCCTCTCTTCTTATCATTCCTTCTCCCTCCCCCTCGGTGCCAATACCTCCCCCGCCCATCATGCAGGTCCAATGGCGAAGAATCGCTTTTGCCTGCGGACGGACCAGGAGCGGAGAACCTGTGCTGTGCCCGCTAGGCGGGCTCTGTCTGCCGCCTGGCCGACCTCGGCCACCCAGCTCAAGCTACTTGCAACGAGCCAAGTGCAGTCAAACAAAAACCCTCCTCTTTCCTCTCCCCCCCCCTCCTCTCTCCTGTCCCCCCTCCCCCCTCTCTCCTGTCCCCCCCCCTCTCTTCTTCCCCCTCCCCCTCCTCTCTCCTGTCCCCCCTTTTCTCTCCTGTCCCCCCCCCTCTCCCCCCCCCTCTCTCCTGTCCCCACCCCCTCTCTCCTGAGGGCTGGCAGGGGTGGGGGGTGGCGAGCACTTAATTAGTCAGGTAATTTCGCCCCCCCCCCCCCCTCCCAAGCAGAGCTAAAGCTCATGCTGAAGCCGAGCTTCAGCGTAGACTTCTTAAACACATGCCGGATCGGCTGATGTTTACATACATATACATATACATACATACATACATACATACATACATACATACATACATACATACATACACACATACATACATACATACATACATACATACATACATACATGCATACATACATACATACACACATACATACATACATATATGTATATATATGTGCTTCCAAGACGGCCAAGATGGCCCATGATGGCTTCAGAAATGCCTGCAAGAACGCTCAGATGGCTTCAAGACGATGGCCCCAAGATGCACCCTACACGGCCCAATATGGGGTCCAGATAACTCCACATAGCCTCCGAGGCGGCCAAGACGCCTCTAAAAGACATCCGTTGAGAAATCCTAAATAAGCTAAATTCATAGATTTCCCGTTGGTTTTTGAAGATTTGTTGCATTTTTTTGTTCGGCCTGCTGACGGTCCAGATGGCCCAATGGGCTCCCAAGATCGCTCCCAGAGCACCCAAGAGGCCTCCACGATAGCCCCGTGACGGCCCAAGACGCACCAAAGACGGCCCCAGGAGGGCCCCAAGACGGCCAAGAGGACTCAACACGCCTGAGATTGCCTCCAAGACAGCCAAGAAGCGCTCCAAGCGGGCTCGAAGACGGCGTAGACAGGCCTCACAAACGACTTCCGGGAGCGTCCGACGGGCCAGGCTTTTAGACAGCCAAAGAGGCCGGGGCAATGCGGAAAGATGGCTGCCGCGGGGCACGCGTGCACGGGTGCGCTGAAGCGCTTGTGGGGCACGATTTTCGTGAATGGTCGCGTGAACACGCCCATTGAGGCCGCAGGTGGACCTCCTCCAGGCACGCCCCGTGCCAAGCATGTTCCGAAATGGGCGCGGGGGCACCATGCAAAGATGCCCGTTCTGGAGCATGACTCTCGCGTGACAGGTGTGCCGACATGGGCGGGGGGGGCGTTGTTCGAACCTTCTGGGCCTTTAATTCGGTGGTGCTCCTTGTGGGCATGATCCACGTGAGGAGGTGTACCGCCATGGCCGGGGGGGGAGGCGCAGTGCGAACCTTGCTTCGGGGGGCGTGGGTGGGGATCCCTGTGGGCCACGATCACGATCCGTGTGCGAGGTGTGCCGATGTAGGCGGGACGGCGGGATGCGAACCTTGTCTTTGGGGCCGTCCGTGGATGTCCTTGCGGGCCACGATCCGTATGAGAGGTGCACCGAAGTGAGCGGCCCGATGTTATGAAGCTCCTCTCTTTTGCCCCAGATGCATTTAGTCGCGGGGCACGGTCCTCGTGAGGGGCGTGCCACTGTGCGAACCTCGTCTCTGGGGATGGAATCGCGTGGGTCTCCCTGTGGGACGCGATGCCTGTGAAGGGTGTGCCTGCATGGGGCGCAGGGGGCCCAAGCCTGTCTGATGGGGCGCAGGTGGAGCCCCCTGAGGTGCACGATCCTTGTGATAAGCAATGTCCCCCGATGCCGAATACATTAGACTACAACTGGGGCTCGCTGGAACCTACGCGCGCGCGAAGCGCGTGCGTGGTTCTAGTATACACATACATATATACATATATATATACATATATGTATATCGGAGGTTGGGGGGTGAGTCAGACGTGAAACGGCGACCTCCCCTACCGGGAAATCGATTTCGGTTTCGGGTTCGTGTCGTGTGTGCCGTGCGTGCGTGCGGGCGAGGCGAAGCTGCGTGGGCGCGCGAGAGGAAATCCTCCTGTGGCTGGGCCGCGGCCAGACCAAATGTAACTCCTCCGGCGGCCAGTGCCGCGCGGTGTCCCGCCAGTGTCCCGCTGGTGTCCCGTGGTGCCTCGTGGTGTCCCGTTGAGTGAGATCGATAGTGAGATCGATACTCAGATCGATACTGAGATCGATGTGGTGCCCCGAGGTGTCCCGTGTTATCCCAAAAAGTGAGATCGATAGTGAGATCGACAGGTATCCCGTGGTGTCCCGTTGAGTGAAATCGATTGTGAGATCGATAGTGAGATCGATGTGGTGTCCCGAGGTGTCCCGTGGTGTCCCAAAAAGTGAGATCGATAGTGAGACCGATAGTGAGATCGAGAGGTGTTCCGTGGTGTCCCGTGGTGTCCCGTTGAGTGAGATCGATAGTGAGATCGATAGTGAGATCGATGTGGTGTCCCGTGGTGTCGTATGGTGTCCTATGGTGTCCCGTTGAATGAGATTGATAGTGAGATCGATAGTGAGACCGATAGTGAGATCGAGAGGTGTTCCGCGGTGTTCCGTGGTGTCCCGTGGTGGCCCGTGGTGGGCCGTGATATCCCGTTGAGTGAGATCGATGTTGAGATCGATAGTGAGATCGACAGGTGTCCCGTGGTGTCCCGTGGTGTTCCGTTGAGTGAGATCGATAACTAGTGAGATCGATTGAGTCAGATGTTGGTCCCCCCTCTCTCTCCCCCCCCACAACCTCTTATCACCCGAAGGGTGGTCGTATAGGTGTGTGTATTCGTAGTATACATACATATAGATATTTATCGGAGTGGGCTGGTGGACGTCCTGGAACCACGACCCCTGGTTTGCATGGGGGGCCCGGGGGCGGCCTTGAGGGCTCCAAGAGGGCCCAGAAGGGGCGCCAGACCCCCCCCAGAAGTCCCCGAGCTGGCCCGAGAGGCTCCCAGAGCGCCCCAGGTTGCCTGGAAGATGGCTGAAGAGCGCACTGAGATGGCCTTCAGACGGCCTACGAGCGCTCCAAGACAGCCCAAGACTGATCTTAGACGGCCACAAATGCTTTCAAGACGGTCCAAGAAGCCGCCGAGAGGGCCCGCCAATGGCGAAAATCAAGCATGTCCGAAGGGAAAAAAATATGTTCTGGATATTCGCCTTTTCAGTCCGAACAGCGGCCACGACGGCCCCAAAGGCCCCCCAAATTGGCCCCAGACGGCCCAAGAGGCCCCTCTGAGGGCATCATGACGGCCTGAAGAGAGCTTCAAGCAGCACAAGAGAGCTCCAAGACGGCCCAAAAGAGTCCCCAGGGAGCCCCGAGGGGACCACGGGAGGATCTCTGCATGGTCGGAGAGGGCCCCAAGAGGGCCCCAAGACGGCCTCAGCCCCCCATGACGGGCCAAAAGGGACCCAGGACGGCCGAAAAGGGACCCAGGACGGCCCAAAAGGATTCCCAAGGAAGGCCCGGAGAGTCCCAGAGACTCCCACAATGCTTCCAACAGGCTCCCGGGAGGCGCTCCATTAGGCCCTCATAAGCGTATGGGTGGTCTCGTGTCTACGTCCTGCAACATCCAGTGCAGGGATTCCAGAGGATCCACAGAAGCATGCTGCGGGGCGACGGGAAGTAACCAAAACACCCCGACGTCACGGTCGAGGTCAGGGGTGCACCGCCATGGGCGGGAGGGCGGCATACGCCCGTTGGTTTTGGGAGTGTTGGTGGAGCTGTCACATGCTTTTCACTTCTCTTCGACAGACTTCTCAACAGTCGAATGTGATGAGCTTGTGAACTTTTCTCGAGAAGGCTTTTCGCGACAACCGCGACGCCGACTCGTGTTGCTGACCGTGCCAAAGATGCCTTCGCAGTGGCTTATGCCTTCGCAGTTGCTTGCTGTTCGACGCTGCAGCCAAGTCGCACCACGTCCTTCTCTCTTCATCCTCCTGCGCATCATCGTCCCGTCATTACTCACTTCTGGCACCTCTGGCGCACTCCTCGTATACCAGCTCGTGTTCCTACACATTGTGTCGTCGTGTTCTCCCCCTCTTCCCTCTCTTCTGTGTCTCCGGTCCGGTCCCCGCGCTCCGCTGCCTTTCCCTCTCCCCCTCCCCCTCGTCAGAGAGGGCCCGGGTTTAGGGGAGATGATGACGACGCAGGGCCCGACTATAGATCCATATCCACTGCCTGCCGAGGCCCCCGCGGCTGCTGTGGATAATTCCCCGCTTCGGAGAATCAAGACGAGGGGGAGGGGGAAAAAAGAAGGGGTGCGGAGAGAGAGAGAGAGAGACAGAGAGAGAGAGAGAGAGGCAGCCATCTCCTCCTTCTCCTCTTCCTCCTCCTTTCCGCCTCCCGCTGCTCCCCGTTCCCCCCCTCCTTCCCTCCCACCTCGTTCGCTCGCTCGCTCGGGCCGCTTGTCTCCTCAAGCACTCTCAGACCGATATCTGGAGCCCCCGTGACCATCCGAGCGGATGTCCCGAATCACACCGCAGGAGCAAGAGGAGGAGGAGAGGTGTCGCGGACGGCGAGGACGACGAGGACGACGACGACCCCCGACTGTCCCCAGAGGTCTCAGGGTGTCCCCCGAGTTCTGGCACGGGAGGCCACGGAAAGGCCAACCACGTTCAAATCCGCACAATTCCGCGCAAATTCGACGACGATTACGACGCTGGCCGCGGATGTAGGGGCGGCGGCGGCCAGACCCCGCACGCTGGACGAGCGCTGGCGGGGGCCCAAGGCTTGGGCGACCGCGGCGACGAAAGCGACCCCGCGAGACCCAAAAAGGCCCAACATCATTGACAACCCTCGATCCTCGACCCTGGATCCCTCCTTCTCCCCCCACTCTCGTAGACGACAGCGACGACGTTGGTGGCGACAACGACGTCCACGACAACAACCACGACAACCAAGGCGACGACGAGGAGCCCTGGCGGCCTCCAAAAGTTTGGCAACGACCACAACGATGACGAACGATCGACGCAGCCGACGGCTTCGACAGATTTCCAGAATCTGGAAGCTTCCGGAGGCCCGAGAAAATCACAACGCGCCTCAGAACGTGCAGTCGTCCGATCACGTCCACAGACGACGATCACCACCGCCACGACTACTACAACGATCGCCGCGACGATGACCACGACGGCGGCGGCAGTGACGGCGGCCGCGGGGGCGGCCTGGCAGGGCGTCGGCATGGTGGCCCTGAGCTTTTGGGGCCCTCCTCGGCCACTGCGGCATTCACGTCGCCTGCGTACTTTGGGAAAACTTGGAAGCCGTCCGACATGTCGCACGTGAATCTCGCACGTCTCCGCGACTGCCCGCCGGACCCGAAGTTACGCCCCAAAAGGCCCAACACGTCCACGCGCCAAGGGCGGCCCTTGCTTGGGGAACCTCTCTTTAATATCTTGGGGTTCACGGATTAGCGCAACGTCTATTGACAACGATTGCGCAGTCGGCTAGAGCCCCAGCGCGCGCGCGAAGCGGGCGGTGACGTCGGCTGTCTGCGAAGCTCCTGAGGAATCCCGCCGCAGGGTCGCGGGGTGGGTCGTGGATGGGTCGCGGGTGGGTCGCGGCTGGGTCGCGGGCGGGGTCGCGGGTGGGTCGCGGATGGGTCGCGGGTGGGTCACGGGCGGGTCGCGGGTGGGTCATCTTCAAGACATGCAGCTTCGGACGAGCTGTTTCCGACGCCATAGATGTCAATGTACAAAAGCACGGCAGATCACCACGGCAGACCCGAAGGAACACGGCAGACCACACAGGAACACGGTAGACAGCATTGGAACACGACGCTGCTGAGTGCCGTCCACACGAGGATGCAGCAGTGCAGGTACACCGCCGCGTGGGGCGCACCCATTGGCAAGCGGAGCCCTGCAGCTGGACCTGGGAGGTAGGCTCCCAGCCGAGCGACGCCTCCGAGGCCGAGGCCGCTCGGCAGTGGATCCAAGTCGTCGAGAGCACCTTGGTGGGAATCCACGGCATCGACGACACCGACCTGCCCAGGTACCTTGGACGGGCTGCGGGGCCCGAGGTTGTCCTCAAGCCCCTCAGTGCCGTGGTCAAGCGCGAGTACCGCCACCGGCACTCGGCCCTCACCCACGTCATCCGCCAGGCCCTCGACGTCGCCCTCCAGAGGCTCACTGCGGACAAGACGAAGCGATGGCAGCCCGCGCACGAGGCCTGGTACGTGCGGCAGGTCGATCGGGTCCTCGCCGATGTGGAGGCTGCCACGGTCGCCGCCTGTGAGGAGGACGAGGTCGAGGCCCTCGAGTTCAACACCAGTGAGTGGGGCGACCTAGTTAGCCAGGCTGGCCTTCACGGAGACCCTGAGGCGATTGCAGTGCTACAGCGGCGCCTCGCATGTTCCCAGAAGCGAGATGGGTGCAAGAACTCGGCCTCCTGGCGAGCATGGGCCAAGGAAGCAGTGCAGAAGGGTGGCAGGTTGGCCCATAGGTTCGCCAAGGCGGTGCCGCCCCCACAGGTGGTTGACCCTGACACTGGCAGGCCCTTGGCCGGCATGCTGGCAGTCGGGCAGCTGGAGGCCAACTGGCAGGCCCTCTGGCAGCAGGAGGGCTTCCAAGCGGGTGCTGGAGTCGGCAGCTGGGACGTCCGAGGAGCGACCCTGCCTCCCCTCAGCCTGGAGATGCTGCAGGCTGTCTGCAGGCGCTACTCGCCTACGGCAGGCCTGGGGGCAGACCAGCTCCACCCGCGGCAGCTGCTGCTGCTCCCAGTAGCCCTGCAGCGGCGGTGCCTGGACCTCCTGGAGGCATACGAGGAGCAACCCCAGGCCTTGGGCGGCCAGGCCACCTTGATGGTCTTCATCCCCAAGGCTGACGGAGGGGTCCGACCGATTGCTCTGATCCCGCTGCTCATGCGCATCTGGAGCCGCCTGAGGCAGCCGATCTGTGCGCTGTGAGAGGCGGAGCACGACCACCGCTTTTTCTGGGGCAAGGCTGACCGCGGCTGCGAGAAGGCTGGCTGGCTGCACAACGCCTTCGCTGCCTATGCGCGGGAGCACAGGTTTGCCGCCGCCAGCCTCTTTCTGGACACCACCAATTTCTACGAGAACTTGCGGCATGACGTCCTGTGGCAGTGCGAGGTCGAGCACGGCTTCAACCTGAAGTTGCTGCGCTGCCTCTTCGTGCTCTACCAGAGCCCGCGGTTCCTCTGTTTCGTGGGCATGGCCGCCGGGTCTTTCACCACCAGCGGGGCGGTCCTCGCAGGGTGTGCGTGCGCTACCACGGTGGCCAAGCTGCCCGTGCTTGCTGCCTTGCGTGCGGCCTCGGCGGGAGGCAGGCCGCTGGTGGTGGCACGCAGCGTCGTCGACGATATCGCGCTGCAGGCCGTCGGCACGGAGCGTCTGGTCGCTGCGCAGCTGGGCACGGCTGGGCTGGAAGTGGCGTGCATCTTCCGTAGCCAGCACCTGCCCATCAGTGCCGCCAAGACGACCTTCCTCGCCTCGAGCCCCAGCCTGGGGCTCCAGCTGGGTGAGTTCTGGAAGTCGCAGGGCTGGACCCTCCGCAAGACCTTGCAGGCCAGGAACCTCGGCACGGACGCCACCATCACGAGGAGGGGGGTGCATGAGGGCCGTGTCCGTGCTGCTGGGGCGCTTTGCCGTGCGCGCAGGCCGGGCTGCTTGCGAGCTGCGGGCGTGGAGGTGGACCTCATCCACAAGGCTGGGCCCACAGCCAGCATGGCGTGGGGGCGCACGGTCACGGGCATCGCGGACGGTGAGCTGCACAGCTGGAGGCTCGCAGCGTGCCGCAGTGCAGGGGCGCCCCCCATGGGCGCCGCGCTTGGGCTCCGCATGCGATGCGCCGAGCTCAGGAGGAGGCGCGACCTGGACCCCGCAGCCCTCGCGGCAGGCCATGCGGTCCAGATGCTAGCCAGCCTCCTGCAGTCTGCCGAGCTGCCGCACAGGATGATGGCGCGGGGGCTCGAGGCGGCAGCAGCCAGGCACGCAGCTGCCGACGCACCGTGGAAGCACTGCGCCTCCCCCGTCGACGCGGCGGTGCTGACCCTCGCTCGGATCGGCTGGCACTTCAAGTCCGAGCGCTACCTCGTCACGGACCTTGGCGACGAACTCGACCTCGTGCTCCTCCGGCCTCGGGAGCTAGGGCTGGAGGCTAGCCTCGGCGCCAGGCGTGCCTCCGATCGCCGCGATATGCGGAAGCTCAGCCACGACCCCATCCTGCAGCGGCCCCTGCACTGGGACGCCATCGGGCGGCTGCTCGGGCCCGACAGCGAGCTGAGCGTGAGGGGGCAGAATGCGCAGGGGGCCTACGTCTCCAAAACGCACTGGACGCAGGCCAGACTCTTCGACGCAGGAGAGCGGCGGCACGCGTGCTGCTGCCGCTGTGGGGCCGAGCGAGGCACCCTGTGGCACCGCCTGTTCGAGTGCCCCGTGCTTGAGCCCCAGCGCCGCGACGGAGTGCCCGCACGGCTGAAGAGGTGCGCGGAGAGAGCGAGGGCCCACGGGGAGTGTGCTGGCGAGAACTTCGCCCGCTGCTGGTTGCCTGCCCCAGCGCCGCCCCAGGGTCGCCGCACTGAAGCCATGTGGGTGCAGTGTGTCAGCAGGCCAGCCGACGAGAAGCTCAACGGCAAGCTGTACCTGGACGGCCCTGCCCTCGAGCCGCAGTTCAGTGCCGTCCGCCGCGCTGGGTGGTCCATTGCACTGTGCGACGATGACGGCAACTTGGTCGCAGGGGTCTACGGCGCCGTCAGGCGAGACCTCTGCCCGCAGCAGACGGCCAAGGACGGCGAGGACTTCGCCGCGTGGATGCTCGCCACCTTCGCTGGGCCAGCAGTCGAGGAAGTCAAGGTCGACTGCAGCTCCACCGTGACCTGCCTGCGCAGGGGGCGCGCATGCGCGACCAAACCCACCAGGGCCAATGCCCATCTGTGGGGCGGGATCCTGGCGTGCCTCGAGCCAGGGACCTTCGCTGCGAGGCAGGCGCCAGCCCACTGCTCAAGGCAGGCGGTGCCCGACGGGCGCTTGACGGAGG